CGCACTTTTGCATGAATTAATGCTGGACTTGTGACGGTTTACAATGATTGTGCTTTGCGACATGATCTGGGCTTTTAGGTAAGATTTGTTTTCCATAACAACCGAAAAGGAAAAAAAAAACAAATCAATCTAACGTTGAAATTCAGGAAGGAGTGACTCGCCACGAACGTGATAAGAAGGTGAAGAGAAAATTCCAAAACCTTCACTATATATTGCTTTCATTTAATTGATAAAATTAAGAAGCACACTAAGCATATCAAGCTATTCATCGATCGAAAACCCTAATTCTTTATTCTTGGTATCTTTGCGTGATAAATTAGATTGTGAAACAATTTCTTCCCTTATTGCCTCAAAGGCAAGAGCAGTGTGAGGTCACGTATCAATCTCAGTTGTCATCTTTACTTGCGTGAGGCAAGATCAGTGTTTGTACGTAGGGTATACAGGTTTGGGTGATAAATCCTCAAATTTACATTTTCTCTATGATTGCATAAAGCTTGTAAAATCCAATCAAGTCTCACTGACGTTTTTGTTCATGAGCAATTCTGCATTGCAATGGAGGCCCTCCTCTCCCTCCCTCCAAAGCATGGGTTTACAGTTTTTTATTTTCTTTTTTAATTCCGCGCAGTTTTATGTCTTCAAGTTTTGATCTTTATTTATTTTTTATCAGCTATAATCCATTTCATTTGATGTTTAAAAGCGTCTATATTACACTTATTCAAGATTCTTTTTTTTTAAAGGGGGACAATTGGTGGCAAGCTACGGTTATCCATCCCTTTTGGGGGCTGAAAAGACTCACAAAGGTATTTCAACCTCCCCCTGACCACAAGACTATTAGATGTTATAAAATTTAATGGCTAAAAAAGAACAAAAGGATTTGTCAAAATAGTTGTCCCTTGATGCTAACCCCCATATACAAATCATGTATTTTATTAATCGTAATAATATCTATGATATAATAATTATGAACTAAGTCAGAATTTGAAAAATGCATTTTAGCTAAAATGATCCCTAAGATTGGTATAACTCCTCACCTTGATCCCTGAGATTTGAAATCAATATAATTGGTCTCTGAGTTTGTCCACCGTCAATCATTATGATCATTCTGTGAAAAATATCCGCTAAATAAGGATCAAAATAACAAAAATATCTTCAATTTAATAAACAATAACCCAAATGATTTGGCAAAAATTAAGGGTACTTTTGTCATTTTATTCTTATTTAATTGAGATTTTTAACAGAATAATCAAAATGATTAATAGTAGACAAACTCAAGGACCAGTTCTATTGATTTTAAATCTCATAGACCAAAATGAAGAGTTATGCCGATCTCAGAAACCAATTTGGCCAAAAAAATCTTACTAGAAATTGTATGTAGTATATGACAAAGCATAATGCAAAACTTAACAACACGCTGTATCAAGCTCGCCTTGCAGCGCTAGTGAGAAAAGAGCTTAATTTCCAAGGACTGCAGCTGAAATGACCAGAACTAGTGAAAGAATCCCTTGCCGGAGTACTTCTTAAACTCGAGCACTGCCCTTTCGAAAAAGAAAATGAAGATGAAGATGAAGAGCTTGAGTTCCGAGGCGAACTTGACGATGCCATGAACTCAGAATCAGAGCTGCAAAACTCGACCTTATCAAACTTATCTAAGCCACCATTGTGTTGCAAATTGTTCTTACGTTGTTTTTTTGTCTTACTTTTTTTACTCCAAAACTTGACCCTATGCAGAGGGCTTGTTGGAGGCTTATTAGTATGAAGCTGCTGATCAATGCAGGGCTTGGGTAGCCCTAAGCTGAGCACAGCCGGGGGAGGGCTTATTGGTGGAATTGCTTCTTCTTTTGGCGGGTTCCGTGGTGTTCCTGGCTGCATTTCCCAGTCAAATGGAACCCCTTCAGTGCTCCTGCAGTAATAAACCCTAGAAGAGCAACCCAATGGGGATGAGGAGTTTCTTAAGAGGTTTCTGTTGAACAAAAATTCTTGATCCCCTCCAAGTACCGAAACTCCTTTCGTTTCCATTTTCCTTCGAGGCTCAGAACCCATTATTTCGAATGAAATTGAGGACTTGAATCGATGTGTTTCGCAGTTTTGTTTCCTGGGTTTTCGAGGCAGTGATGAGAAGTTTGAGGGAAGTATTGAGTTTATAGAATGGTAGTGTATAAATATAGAGAGATTTGAATCCAGTTTTGAAGGCATGTGATAGTGTCTTAGGGTGCATGATCCTCTTGTTTTGATGATTGAAGATTGATTGGCAATCTAAAAAGTTAATTTAAGTTAATTTATGTTAATTTATATGCAATGTACTTGTGATTTATTTGAATATTGCAAGTGATATAGGTAAGGAAGGCAAAGAGAGATAGGAATATTACCTTTATTCTTAAGCTTACGTTAAACACGCATCCAATCAAAAGCGCTATTGGTGTTGGGCGGCCTGTCTTGCATGTGCTATTACCAAACGCTTAAGACAAGTCACCTTTGCTTCTTATTTACCACTTGCCCTTAGTTTTGAAGGCAATTTGGATGGAACTTGAAAAACTCAACGGTAGGGGGGCAAATTGGCCACTTTAACATAGTTCAAGGGATCAATTAGCTGGAAAAAAAAATAGTTCAAGGAGGAAATTGACACTCATGTGATAGCTCAGAAGGTAAAACGACAGTTTACCCTTATTATATTGTGCATATACGACCTCTAATTACCTAAAAAGGAAATAAATCGACAATTATTGGACAAAAAATTTGAGTTCACAGTCATATCACTGTAGTGTTACAAAATTATGTGTTATTCAAAAATCTAAAAAATCAGAATCATCCATTATTTTTTATCAGTGACAAGAACAATTTACAAAAAAATAAATCTCGTTAACATGACATTGATATTCAGTTGTAATGTTGTCGTTTCCAAGTCAAATGGAGCTCATGCACACGACCATATGCGCAAGAGAGAATTTTTACACAAAATCACGATGTGTCCCTAATCAACATATTATCTAGAAGTCTAGAAAGTTAAAAATGCCCTTTTTTTGGTTTACAGTGACAAGAATAGATAATCTGTTGTGTTTGTAAAAGCATCATTGATTCAATGAACCGTAAAATCACCTATAAAGTTGACTTTTCATGTTTTGTGTTTCTTGCATTTTTAATTCCAATAATATTATTTTAAACATCTATTTGTATCTCTTCAATAAAAATAGGATCCACATGCGTTAGTTGGTCTTACCTTTATTGAAGAGATGGTATAAATGATAGTACAAATAGATGGTAAGTGTAGCACTTCAAAAATCTTTTTTGACACTCCAAACTTTCCATAATTAGTAAGAAAATTACACTTGTGAGCAATGTAGAAGAGATTTTAAGATTAAGTACCTAAAACCGCAACCTTTTAGTGTCATTTCAAATTGGTCTTAACCTTTTTAAATATTTCAAACAAGTACATAACCTATTGAAAAGGTACATCCGTTAAGCCCCAATTAAAATTCTGTTAAATTAACTCAGGTTTACTTGTCTCCAAAATTAATAGAAGGTCGTGAAAGCATGGCCTCCATTAACGATCACCACCATCCCTATCAAGTTATAACATCGAAACCCAATGCATAACCACCAACTTCACCCTACAATTCAAGAGGCAACATCAAGAAGAAGATTATGGATGTTGCTGAAATAGTATGGACTCCCATGATGCGACCATCACTATCTTCTCCGCCTATAAAGAAGAACTGGAAACTTTACTAGCCGAAAATCACCGAATGAGGATATCACATGAGCAAAAACAAGCTCCTTAAAACCCTATCTAAATTATTAGCCCTTTTCTTTTTTAGGAGATTGCCTTCCTGATGTAATTTCAGTTTGGGTGCATTTTCAATTCAATTCAATATATGTTATATCATTGGGTTCCATAATATATAATTTATGTTCGAATTTTAGATTTTGAGGCAACTAATATAATGTTAACCATGATATACTCAATCGGTGGGTTTTTAATATAAAGGTTGGGATGTGGTTTTGGTGGTCGTAGGTTACTAGGTTGAGCTTGGAGTTGGCGGGAGCTTGATATATCCTGACCTTCACGTCGTTTTTTAAGTTATTTGTATTATTAATAGTGTCCATGTAAACTAAAAAATGAAACACATTGTTGTCATGTGTGCATTTAACGAAAAAAACTAAATAGGACTTAACATATGTGAGATTTTAAATAGGTTGAATACTTATTTAGAATATTTTAAAAGATTGATACCAATTTAAAATGACACTAAAAGGTTTAAAATTTGATGTACTTCATTCTTATTTTTATATTTCAAAAAAAAAATTGTTAAGGTTTGGTGTTAAGTGGCTGTTGAGTAAGTGTCCACATGTCATAATATTAGCGGCTGATACTTCTGCCGCAGAAATCTTGGGTACAGAAGATTTGAAGCCTTAACGATTACATTACTTAATTATTGAGATTAGATAGGAAGTAGTTAACCAAACTATATTAAACATTCCGAATGGTTGTAATCCAATCCTCTTTAACCGCAAATGACCATTTACCACAGTGATGGAAAGATGTTAAGCCCTTGCATAATGACGTGGGTTCAAATCCCATCAGTAACTAAACTAACATCTAATTTAACAAAATTTATCGTTTAACAAAAAAAATAATAAAAAATCTCTTTGACCAAAAAAAAAATTAAAAATTCCTCTGTCATCCCATTAATATCTCCACTAACGACGGTGATGTGACAACTTAACTGTGGTGATCAGTCTTATTAAGGGAGGCAGAGAACCCTTATTAAGCAACCGTCAAAATAACAAAATATTTGACATTAATTTACATTATGGTTTCGGGTTTCTACAAAGAGAGAACTTACATATAACAGACAGGTCTACTATCACCGTTGCATCTCGTTCTAATAAAATAATGACGTGTAAGTTTATCAAGACATGACATTGAATTACCGGATCAGAAAGCTTTTTGTGACAGTGAACTCGTTCTATATAAGCTGTTATTCTATAAAAGGCATCCGTTGTGAAGGTAACAAAAATCAATACGAACGACAGCAAAGAACAAATGAGAGATCTAGTACAGTGAGGAGTTTGCAAGAACAAGCACAAAGTAGAGATGAAAATACAATGACAAGCTAAAACTCGATTAACCGGAAAGCTATATAATAATCACACGGCAATGCAGATTAATAGCCTTCTAGGTTACAGTCACATACCGAATGAGTGTTGTGAATACTTCGGTCAGAAAAAAGTACAGAATAGTTTACATGCTTGTTGACATTCATCTCCAGGCTTGTTAATTTCTTACCCCCTGAACATCAATCAAGAACAAAATCAGAAGAATATGTAGCTAACATCGCACTTCTTACATTCGTTAGTTACTTTGCCAAGAAGCGACCATTAGCACAGTATAAAAATGTCTGTCTGAGAGGGTGAAATTGAGGCTGACATCTCAAAAAGCATGGTCATGAACGATCTATTGGTAACAAGTAAACATGTTCCCGAACTTACGCAGTTTTTCAATTCATACATAAGATGATTAGGACTTTAAAGAGCATAGAAAATTATGGGGAAACTCTGGACGAACATATGTGAATCAGAAAAACCCTAATCCACAATTTTCAAACCAAAACCACACTCCGAGGATCTCCATGCAAGACGTAATATTGGAGGCACTTGCTATGCCATTATTTAAAATAAGACTATCTATCCTTTGTTTAACACAACAAATTTTAGATAAATTTATCCCCGATGGAAGCTCAATCTTAATAAAGCCTAAGGATTAGAAGAAGTTTGTATAAAAATCTTATTTTTACCTCAGCAGGTGATGAAATATTAGAATCCCTGCCAGAATTCAAATGGCCGCCATTCAGATTCCTACATAATTATGCATAACCATATAAATATCTACTTCACAGAATGAGTAAAAGGAGAAGGGGAATACCTTGGCCTCTCGGACTTGGCCAATTGTTTAGACATTATGGATGCCTGCAATAAAACCAACTCTCTATGTTTATTCCTGAACTAAAAACATAATAAACAGTTGAATTACACTGCCGCAAATGTCTAGTCTACTCTACTCTACTTGCACAAACTGAATGGCAAGAATAACATTCTTGAACGGGAATATAAATTCTCAAAGAAATTCGAGCATTTGAAACAGAACTAGAAAGTTGGAGATTCAGCTCCTTGGAACATTGCAACTTTGTGCACTTTTCTGGTGACGCTATAAAAATAAAAAGGAAACTTAAATAAATAAAGATGAATAGATGGAGAAGAAGTCCATCTAAGCATATTCTACGAAAAAGCATCAAAAGGTAACCAAGTCATAAGATGTCAGACAATATAGCATGTTATGTTGTCCGACTGCGGATAAAAACTGTTGATTAGGTAGAATCATTGAATATGAGGTCATGATCCACAGCCTGGCAACTAACATGCCAAATATCCGGGCGGGGATCATTGTTCTATATATATACATATGAGTAAAAGGATGAGACCTGCTCTTGAATTATGCTCCTTGCCTCGACAAGTTGAGCTTCAAGCTCAAGCTCCCTCTCGGTTACTTCAGATGTAACCTCTGCTTCTTTTTGTGCATCTTGCAATTGAACCATACGCTCCTTCAAATTTATAACATAAGAAACAAAAGCCATCAGTATTTCATCTTTTTGCAAGATTCACGACAAACACTTATTAATGGAAAACAATCTACCTTTATGGAAGCCATCTTATTTCGAAGATTTTCTTCTATTTGATCTCTAGCCATGTGAAAAGGCAAGTCAAAGACATCCTGCAAGAAGTAAACTCAGTGATATAAATAGTCTTGAACCAATGAAACATTTCATCCATGCACCATTTAGAAAATGTAATACCGTCCTCCCACCCAGTGGAGACTGGGTGTGGTCAGTTTCAACTCGTTCATTTACATCACGGGACTGCTTGGACAGCCCATTTGGAGCATTTATGAAATCACGCATATCAACCTATAAGGCAACCAATCCAGTATAAGTCACGACCCATTGACATATGAAGAAAAAGAAACTGGAGACTTCCCTCAAAAAAATATATGACGAAAAGTATGACAAACATGAAATTAGTATGGTGTAGTAAAGATGTTGGATAAGGGGAAGGTGCTTCCTATGTGCTGATTAGAGTCCCCACTTACCAAGCCCATATTCAACATACTCATAAACTTGACAAAATTAAGACGTTGAACTCCTATCACAAAAGAATCCACAAATTATGATATAACCAATGCAGATACAGATCAGTTTGCTACATGGCACAAGGATAAATGCCCATAAAAAAAAAAAAAAAAAGGATAGAAACAGACAAGTAAACGGGGACCAAAGAAAAGATTACAAATTAAAGAAAAAACAGAGGGATAGGAATTAAAATGCTATGAAGAAACATGATGCAGAAGGAGAAAACTAAAGGCTGCCACAATAGCATTGACTTACTGATCCTAAATATTCAGGCAGAAAAAGCAGAACTTTCATTACATACGGGGTGTCCTAAAAACCGACTTAACATCACCCCAAAGTAAACTAGGACAATAGTTCCAACAAACCAAAAGCACATTAACAGGCCCTATCCCCCATAACCCTATGATGGCTTCTGCTGCCAAACTCAAGCACAGGAAATTACGCTCTTGATTTTTAATCTGATGTAGATAGCTCAAAGAGTTATGCTTCAACATAACAATCCATGTTTCTAGCACTATTTTTGGTATTTTCCCCTCACCTACAGGAACAGGAATATTACACAAAATTGACCTATTTAAATTGTTGGTAGGACTGGAAACGATGAACTTGCATCTTCAATAATTCTTTATCATGAAACAGCAAAACACAAAAAGACCAAAAACAGGATGAAAAAAATAAAGGGAGCTTTAACAAAAAGGGCTTGGGCAAAATTTATTTTAACCAAAAACCATCCTATAACTTTATTTAATGAAATGGGCTTAAACCTTAATGAAATGACATAAACTTTAATGAAAAGGGCACAATTTTAATATAATAAAAATAAAACCAAGAAAAAAAGTAATAAAAAACCAACGCACAGGACCCTGCGCTTGCATGACACACTCTCCCTCATCTCCCTCACCATTTCTTAAACTGAACACGAGTATTCCACTATTTCTTAAACTGAACACCGACTAGTTCTGAAAACTGAACACAGGTACTATTTCTGAAAACTGACACGGGTACTGTCACTATTTCTTAAACTGAGTACTAGTACTATCTCTTAAACAGAAAACTGACTAAAAGGTAAAAGGTCGTACCCAGTGCACAAGGCTCCCGCTTTACACAGGGTCTGGGAGAGGTGAATGTCGGCTAGCCTTACCCCCAATTATGGAGAGGCTGCTCCCAAGTCTCGAACCCGAGACCTACCGCTCATGGACGAAGGCATTTGCCATCGCACCAAACATTATTTCAACTAAATACGGATACTACACTATTTCTTAAACTAACTATTTCTGAAACCAAACATGTTTGATCAAATAACAGAGGTAGCAGGTAAGCTGCAAAGTCAAAAGCAAGTGCAGTTGCATGCGCTTTTTTTTCTTTTTTTCTTTTTTTTTTTTTTTTTTTTTTGAGAAATCTTTGAGAAATCTTGGAGATCTATTACAAGAAGGAATTTTACAAGGAATAGAAAATGGTACATTCAAGGTTGAACACTTCAAGAAGGAACTTTACAAGGAATAGAAAATGGTACATTCAAGGTTGAACAATTTATATTGGCTCCTGATCATGAAGATAAGTAAGGGCTATAAGGATGAATTAAGAGTTGTAAGGGGGCACATGCATCTCGTCCAAAAATGTCTTTGATGGTTTAAGTAACCACCGAAGATAAAACCTTTCAAACTGGAGTGCTTATGGGGTGTGTTTCGTGGTTGAGAGCATATGGATTGGACAAAATGAAAAATGTGGTGAATTTGGTTATGCTAAATCTTTTGACCCTTGATGATATATTAACCTATTAAATGCTGCAGTTCAGATTCTTAGCCTCAAACTCTTGTTTCAAGGCTTCCATCCGTTCAACTAAAAGCCATATTTTCCTTTTGTAGATTCAACAATTTCTGGTTGATGGTAGCAGCATTTCCATCACCCTCCCCAAACGATCCCTTTTTCTGTTTGAGTTTATTCATACACTTGGTAGCCTTTTCGGCTTCTTCATCGTATTTTAGCCTCCACTCAGCAGATTCATCCATTGTTTCCCTACTCGCAAGGTCAAACTGCCGCTTGAGAAGGTCGCCTTCGTCGGAAGAAATGGAATAGTCGATGGTACAAAGCAGCAAATAGACGGCAATTCCTAGAAACATGACCAGCACCAAACCCACCAGCATTTTCTTGTTGCACTCGCTTTTGGTAAGATGTTTTTTGTTTTTTTTTTTTTTTTTTTCCTTTTCTTTCTCTTGTCCTTATCAGGTCGCATTTGGTGCGATGGCAAGTGCCTTCGCCCATGAGCGGTAGGTCTCGGGCTCAAGACTTGGGAGCAGCCTCTCCATAAATGGGGGTAAGGCTAGCCGACATTCACCTCTCCCAGACCCTGCGTAAAGCGGGAGCCTTGTGCACTGGGTACGACCTTTTTTTTTTCTCTTGTCCTTATCATTAGTAAAGTTATTAGATGAGTTTTAGTTAAAATTCAAAGTTTTGAAGCCCTTTTTATTAGTTTTTCCAAAAAATGCCCATGGCAGTCAGTGAAAATATTTAAAGATGCTGCATATAAAAATATGTACACCTGGTGAAAATTGGGAGTCATGACCCACAAAACTGACTATAATGATTAAGATTACCTGCATGGATCGTAATAATGCCTTTAAATCGGAATTCTCTGCCATTAATTCTTGATTTTTTGCCTCATAAGCATCCACCTGGAATAATGTAAAGTCAAAATTTGACAAGAAAGTGGTTGCAAAAAGCTAAATAAGTCAATTAAGCTACATACAATCTTTTTATGAAAATCATTATCAGCCCTCTTTCCATTCCATGTTCCACGCTGCCTCCCTTCTTTCTGTTTGCACGTAACATTAAGGGAGAGAAGCAAAATTAGGAGGATGAACTTGATGTTGTAAAAGGTAATTAAGGCACCATTTGAGTACCTGAAGCAAATTCATTATCTCCATGCCTGATCTAGATTCCTTCTTTTTCTCCATCAACACTTGGTTTAGCCTCTCCTGAAATTAGAACGGCATCACTCTTTCTTTCCAAATCTAATATCTTGTCCACTCATGTAATCATCGGTCGTCACATATAAAATCCAATTTCTCTAAGCCTAAGGAAGCCAATATGTTCTCCTCACAGGATACGTATACATGTAGATGTAGGAAATATTATACCTGCAACTTTATGTACTCCTTTTCTTTTTTCTTCATCTCATGCATTTGTTGAGTCCTAACTTGCTTTGGCAGCATCAACATAGCAATGATACTTGTCAGAATTTTTGTCCATTTTGACATAGTAGCTACCAAAATTCTGAAAAGAAAGTTCATTAAATTCAAATGTCCCAACCTGATTGCCAATGACCATCCTCTGAAACTCATCTCGCTCCTGCTGTAGCTTCTCAATTTGGGATTTAAAAGCTGCTGTAGCTTTAGCTTCCTAATCAAAGAGAATTCCCAACGAATCAATAAAAAAACAAGACCAATACAAAGTACTTCTTTTAAAAGAAATGCAAGTTTCTAACCGTTCGTGTAATGGTTGCTATCTCCCTGTCTTTGACTTGTAACTGCCCCTCAAGCCTCTCAACTTTAGCTTCTAATCTTGATATGTCTGACAATAGCCTATAACAATATAGAAAGCAAAGCAATGGTATCACTCGGTACAATGAAATTTGAAAAATTTCACTAAATTAAATGTCCGTACATATTGGACAAACATCTTTTAACACGTTTTTAACAGAATTACTTGTCGAAGGGATCAATCTCACAAGCCGCTCGGCAAAAGGATAAGCAACATAATGCGCTCGATCAAATACATAATAACAGTAAATTAACCCAAATTTTGTATATAACCCCAACGAGAACAAAAAGGCGGAACTTTGTACACGTTTTCCACTCAAATTGTTGATTCAGAGATCTAAGTCCAAACAAATAAGCATAAGTCTTAGAAAGAATCATACCGCTGTCTCTGTTCGTTAGCGGACTCTCGAAATTCAACATCCCTTTGTCGCTGCTGAACCAAGGCATACATACAATTGCAAGTCCGAGCAACAGAAACCTACCAAATTACAGCAGATACAAATTTAAAAATAAATCAAATAAAATAAAATAAAAAAATAAAACCCCAAAGAAAAAGAAAAAAGATGGGATTTTTCTGGAGCAAATTATAAAACCAAAGCAAAACTGACCGGATCCTTTGCGAAGAGATCGAGCGACGCCGGGAATCCGAAGGTAACAAGCGTCTTATTCAAATACTTAATGCAATGCTCCAAATTCCCCACATCGGCAAATGCGAACTCACTGAAGCACAAAAATTCAAAAACCCATACATATATACACACACAATGCCCATAATACATAGGTTAAAAACCCTAGAAATGGAGGTGGGGAACTGACCCGTTTGGGATGGCAGATTGAGGCGACGGCTGCACCAAAACAGAAAGATATTGTGAGAAAATGGAGGATAAAATGGAAGTGCATTTGTTAGGGTTTGGAGGAATAGTACTCTAAGATGGAAGTCTGCATCCGTCGCTGCCATTGTCGAAAGTAGGGAAGCTCGCACATAGAGAGGCCAGAGTGAGAGTCCCTCAGTAGATCTGAGCAGTGTTTCAAATTTTTTCGGACTTGTTTTGGATTCAGGGGGTTAGTTTCTTGATATTCGCCTGTGGAACGGTGTACTCAAGTTTCGTGTATCCACCAATAGAATTGGGGGAACTTGGGGTGGATCAGTTTATAGAGTGACGTGTTGTATTTTAATTGGCGGGTTTTTATGTGATGGCTTTGTTTCAGTGCAGGGGATCCGAAGTAAATGGCGCCAGTCTCCAGACGGCACAAAAGGCGTGAGCGAAGTGATCATGGTTGAATGTTGAATTTAGGACCCTCCTATAACGTGCGTTGGTTTATATCGTAAGATTATTCTGTTTGTTTTGGCAAAAGGTAAAATTTTATTCCCAACAAACAATTACAAACAAGGTAAATTACGCTAAACTACTTCAATTATGAGTCGAATTACAATCTCATACCTTATGTTTTAAAAATCACAATGTCATACTTTATCTTACGAATTTGTTGCAATGTCAGACCTCTATCAATTTGTCTATTAATTTATCTATTAAATACTAATACGACTTGAGGCGGAGCCTACTACCAGGTCCAATTGGATAAAAAAAATTAATTAAATATTAATTAAATAAAGAAAATATTTAAATATTTTTATAAAAAAAACATGTGGGACCCACCCCTTCTCTTTCTCCTTTCTCCTCTCACATTCGGTTTTTTGGGGATTCTTCCTTTCTTCTTCCATTCTTCACCTTCATCCTCCAAATTTCACAACCCATTACATCTTTTTTCCATAAATTCAAATCGGCTAAGAGAAAAAAAAACAAAAATTCACCACTCTTCCCTTTCTCCAGAAAAAATTCACCTTTATCTTCTAAATTTCACCACTTTCCTTCCTCTCCCCAGAACAAGATAAATTTTGAAGGTAAAAAACCCAGATTTTCTTTTGCAAGTGGGTCTCGTCAGGCATGGGGACGAGGTCAAATTTGAGGATCTGGAAGGAGAGGAGGTAGAAGGCCAAGATGCGGGGGTCGAAGTAGAGGTAGAAGATGTCGCTGGCTAGGGCAACGAGGATGATGACGATGAGGAGATAAAGCTTGAGGTCATTCTCAATTTTGAAAATGATGAGGAACCCGTCGTCGTAAATGAGCGACCCATGAGTTATCTTGACGTTGTTAAGCAAAATTGGGGCACCAGAGGGTAGTGTGGTGACAAAAAGTGAGTGTTCGGAGAGTAAAGTTGGGATCTTGATGTCGGGGAGGGATTTGAGGTTTGGACTGTGGAAGATGAATGCGGGTGATGGGTTTGTAGAGGGTGGGTTCAGCAGTAGGGATTTGGTGAGGAGGAAGAGGAGGAGCTCCATGGGAGAGAGGTAGAGATAGATGAGCAAAATGACGCCATTGGAACAAATCAGGAGAAAGGGAGAAAATTGTAGGGGTGGATCCCACATGCTTTTTATAAAAATATTTAAATAATTTATTAATATTTTAATTAATATTTTTATCCAGTTAGGCCAGGGAGTGGGGTCCACCCGGAGCCACTTCAGCATTTAACAAACAAATTGACGAAGGTCAAACATTGCAACAAATTCGTAAGATGAGGTATGACATTGTAATTCTTAAAACATGAGGCATGAGATTGTGATTCAACCCATAATTAAGGTAATTTTGTGTAATTTACCCTAAAGACAAAGAGTCCAAATACAAGTGATACACAACAAAAAAAAAAGTAGACCAAAAATAGAAACACCACAAACAAAAAAATCTAGCCTTCTGCAAACATCGCCACCAAGGATTCACACCTCAGAAAATGTGAAGATGGTGACTCCAGCATCTTGCAACAAACACCACATCAAACGCAACCACAAATCGAAAGAAGCCAGTGGAGAACTCATCAGTGATAGTGCCGATAAAGGCAAACAAATGGAAGGTGGTGGGATGCATACTTGAGTCAAAGCTCTACACATCTTCCGAAAGAAAGTGAAAAAGGGTGATTGCAGTACAGAAATGAGGTAGAAACGATGAAGGATAGAGCCAACCAAGAAATGGAGTGAAGGAAATGGGAGATTTAGATTGAAAGGGAACAATGAGAGCCGTGGAAGTGGATGGACAACAAAGATTTGAAGAAGAAAAAATTAAAGTTGAGACTTTAGTAAAAGACATACAGATTGGAGATGGATTTGAGGTTGAAGAGTAAGGCCGATAGGGATGGCAAAAAGGGGGAAAAGAAGAAGAATGAGGGGAAGACTGCCACCAACCCTAGCGACAGTTAGGGCCAGCACTTGCTGAGAATTTACAGAGATAGAGAACACTCACACAAAGAGATGAGAAAAAAAACTCTCAAAGAGAGAGAATGACTCTCACCAAAACGAGCAAGAATAAATTGTAAGATTATTCATTGAAACCAAAAACAACCAAGACCATCAAAGATGGATGACCATTTTGGCAAATGCTTGTTTTAGGAGTGGCAACATTTGATACCAAGTCTCAAGACAGTTTGACTTCAATTGAAGACTAGCGTTTTGGAATGGAAAACCCAACTCAAAGCTAAAATTATTTTCCAATGTGAATTGGTGTTATCACAAATTGGTATCAGACCCAAACGGAAACGTGTTAATGGGAATGTGGGTCTCCAAGGAAGGTAGATTGTAGTGACTGTGTGACGAGTGTAAGGCTACTAGCATATTATTGAGTGTGCTAGATGTTTTTGAAAGTTGGAAGGGAGAATGGAGCCATCCAAGCTTTTCGATCCGGCTTCATTCTTACTATCTCCGTTGAGTGCTAATTTTCCTCACATAGTGTTCTAGGCTCTGGTCCGGTACTTGTTCCAGATTATGTCCACCCTGAATTAGAATTCTTCCAACTTGTCCATAGTCGGGTCTATTATGCAGGATGTTGAGTTCATGGCTGCAATAATCATTGGAGTTACTTCAACCCACGTGCATTGTTAAGCTAATGGCTGTCACGCCCCTCGACCCAGAGTCAGTAGAAAAATAATAACTATGCGCACCCGAATAAAAAGTACAAAAAGAAAATAAACATCTCTTAATCTACATCATAATGTTTCACAACAACACAATCACACTCTAACTTACATTACAAATGTTTTCTCTATACCTACAGTTAAGATCTACTACGTTTTTGGGTCTTTAGTTCAACACTTGTTAAATATTCATAAGGGGTGAGCTTCTAACTCCGTAGGCAAAAACCACAATGCATTTAATACAAGAAAGCAATGATGCATGAATGCAATGTTTCCTCTTCATCCTATTATGTTAGCCGAATTAATAAGCAACCCCAATTTTCTTTTCATCAGTCATCTTGTCAAACTCTTAGTCCCCAATAGATCATTTTATCAAACTCTAACCGGAAGGGCTTCACTCTTTTATTTCGTGCACTTTGGGCTAAGCATATATCAAGGTGCCTTGAGAGTGGACTAAACTAGTTTTAGTTCCATATTACCATAAATCTCGTACTTTTTCAATTTGGGACTCAACAACTGATCATGCAATTATCATAGTTGTTCATTCACATTGATACTTTCCCAATGATTCTACAATGTACAACATAGTTATCGTTCATGATAATTATGGAACATTATTCAAACGGATAATATTCTTCAGGAAATTTCAACCAAAGCCGAGTTCATAAGCATGTGAATCATGTTATCAAGTAGTCATACCATTGCACCAATAACATCTATAATCATGTGTAGGAAGCCAGTTAACATATATAGATATATATAAAGGTTCCCCGATAATTCTTGTGAAATCCTGTTCCCAAGTTTCACTTTTCGAATTTTGTAATTTGTATTTTTGGAAATTTATAGTTATATTTTATTAATTTATGGTTAGTTAGTTAAAATTTCAATTTTATGGTTAGCCATTAAAAATTCGTAGACCATTTCAGGTGACACTAAGTATTTTTTGATAGAGCTCGATCATACGAACATGCAGGTGAAAACCGTTAGCGAAACAAAGTTGTAACGAAGGAGAAATAGCGAACAAATGTAGGAGCATATTGGTAATTTGGCACTTCTATATAAGCCGCTCCAACAAAGTTGGAGTGGCCCTTCTATTTTGGGAAAGTGAACGATCGCGGGTTGACCTGGCTACCCTCCCTGACCCGGTGGCATAACCCTTTTCTGGGCATATTTTCTACACCATTTTCGGTGTTTTTTTAACGAATTGATCTTGGCTACCACCTGGAAACAACTCATTTCCTCACCACGATTATTTTCCACCCAAGGTTCTCGTCATTTGGTTGTTGTTCGTGGCGGATCGAACCCATGCATTTCTGAGTTTCCTCGGCAGTGATCTCCCATTTCCGTTGATCATGCCAGCGACCACCCCCTCCTGGGAAGCCCTCGACGTTTGGAGCAAAACTTCGGCCTTGGATGGGACGTTAGTGCAGCGATGGCGACATAATGGCGCCGCGACTTTTTCGACCACCCTCGGCATTTCTTGGCGTATTTGGCCATCCTCTGGCCAGAACTATGCTCTGGTCTACTCATCATGATCTTCATGCTAGTAAAATTTGAACCAATTTGGTGATTGCCAAAAAGTCTAGCAAGTTGGGACTGCTAGCGATGTGTGGCAGCGACGCATGGCCAATAACCCAACCTTGTCTGTCTAGACTAATTTCGATGTTCTAAATATATGTTGATATTTTTTTGACAAGATTTCATTGTTTGAGTCTAGTTTCATAAATGGCTGTCATTTGACCTTTGTAGTAGATGAAGATTTAATTAAATTTACGGCTCAATTTTCATTGTATTGCATAATAGACAATATATACAAGACAATCCTTGTTCTAAAAGGAAACAAAAAAAGGATACACATATATCCTTCCTAATAAGGGACTTTAATATATACAATATATTTACATCCCTTTTTTTCTTTTAAACAAACACTCACGGCAACACTCCCCCTCAAGTTGGAGCATAGATATCACACATGCCAAACTTGACAAGTGAGTCACCAAAAGACCTACTACAGATGGCATGCGTGAGGATATCCGCAAGCTGCTTTTCCAAGTTCATAAACGGTATTGAAACAATTTTCTTCTCCAGCTTCTCCTTAATAAAATGACGATCAACC